CCGCCGGCTGCCCTCGACCAGGGCCAGGGCATTCTCAGCCCTGGCCCCAACCTGGTGGAACGCTTTGTTGAATAATATTTGCGCCCTGTGGGACTTAATGCAGTTCCACAGGGCATGTGAGGCAGAGATGTTCTGCCAGGCATTTGGTTGAGGATGATGATGGCTTTCCATTTGACTGGCACCCTTATTTCTCCTGCCTCCCCTCCCAGTGGCATACTCTGGCAGTTCCATCACCATCTGATTGGTCATAGGTTATTGTTGTTGTATAATATATTCCCGTTTTTTAAATATGATTTTATGTAATTGTTTTATACTGATGTAGACCACCCTGAGCCCTGTTTCACAGGGGAGGCACTTTAAAACTCTAACTTAATACATAAATAATAAATAATAGGGTGGTGCCAGGCAGCCTCCAGCACTGGCTGGCCCTGCTCAGGCCAGGGTCTTTGGCCTCCAGCAAATGAGTGGTGGGTGGGGGTGAAGCAACACCAGCAGGGGGTGGTGCTGGGAAAATGGGAGAAGGAAGGGCGATCTCTGGGGACTCCCCTGGAGCAGCAGACCAAAAGCAACCCGGGGAAATGTGGGATGGGACTTAACTCTGAGGAGGAGGAGGGGCTAGGTGATGCTTTTAAAGCCTTGGAGGAGAAATGGCAGGCTGGAGAGGGCAGAGGGATGACAGCCCATTGGCCAGGAGGCCAGTCACTGAAGGGGGCTTGGGACACATTGGAGGGTGCCTGGGGAAGTCCTGCCCCAGGTAGTCCTTTATAAGGCCTGCCTGGAGATGGCCAAGGAGGAAGGAGACCGGGTCTTGTCCTCAAAGCTAGAGGGCAGGCAGAAACTGGGAAGAGAGGGAACAACAGGTGAGGGAATACCCCCCCTCCATTGCTGAAGCATTGGTCACAGGCCCGAAACTACGGCCGCCCATAGTTTTAACATCTGGCCTCTACCACTGCGCTCAGGAAGACCATTGAGTGGCAAACTGTCTGGCGGCGTGGTATTTTCAGCATGCCACCTTATGTACCGAATGTTTCAGCACTAGCACTTTATGAGACTCTTGTTTTATTTTATTGTAATTGAATTTTAAACTGTTTTTATGTGAATGAATGGTCATTTGCAGACCAAAGATGTAAGCCGCCCTGAGCCCGCTGAAGGGGAGGGCGGGGTATACATTAAATTAATAAATAAAATAAAATAAAATGCTGGAAAAGTTGAAGCTGGGAGGCAAGCCCTTCTGGGACTCTGGCTCCTGACTGGCAGAGTCTGATACGAGGTTTTCTGCCTACCAGGAAAGACTGAGTACAGAGCCAACAGGGGGCGGTTGATAGAGCACGATGGACTTGAATCTCTGTGGTAGAAATTAAGACTTGAGATGGCTGCAGATATAAGAGGCAGCAGCTATGGTTGGGACAAGCTAAAAACAAAGAGGGACTAGCTGAAAGAAGGGGGATGGAGTGTTTCTGTGAACATTTTGGACAGCATTGAAAAGCCTCTTTCAGTGCTTGCTTTGCAAACATCCACGAGATGTGCTCCTGGCTAGTATAGCATGGGAATCCCATTCTTTCCAAGCACTGGATATAAGGACTTGTTTGCCTGCTCTGTGCTGTCATAGCCTCCTTACCAGGCATGTGGACCATGCGGCAGTTGCAGTTCTCCACCAAGTAGCGGGTCTCGCAGTCTATGCGGCAAGCTGTGATGCTGTAGGTGTCATAGAACTCAGACTCCATTGTCACTGCTTTGCAGTCTCCCCAGGGCGGAGGAAGGTAAATGAGCTGCATAACAGTGGGGAGAAGAGGGGATGAGAAAGGCAATCACCTACCTAGGGCCCACAATGGTGACTGGAGCAAGATAGACCTTCCCCTTCTCCCTTCTCCTTTCTCAGGCGTGGCTTCTCTGAGCACTCAGGTGCCACCTCACAATATATCCATAATTCAGGCATGTTTGAAAGCAGTGCAGGATGAACACAGGGACGCTGTTGATTGCAATGCACACTGAATGATCAAACAAGAAGGATATCACGTGATGCCTTGCAGCCAACTCAAATGTTCAAAAGGGCACTTGGTACAGTCTTCCGGGGACTGCATCACTGTCTCGCTTCAGCATGCATGTGGAAACATCCCATGTGCGAATGGTCTTTCGTGCTCACAAACTCCTAGTCACTGAAAAGCAAGCATCTAAAGTTGAACGGGTTCTAACCTAGCCTCCTCCCCATAGTGACAATTTTGCTTTCACGTAGAATTTTTGGATGGGGAGACAGTTGTACAATTCCCAATCCATATTCTAAAGTGGAGTAGTGCCATGTGCTTTTCTTTTCTTTTTGGAGCCAGTGTGTGTAGTGGTTACTGTTGGGATTTGCAAGTTCTCTCGTAGTCATGAAAGAATTAACATGTTTGTTTATGCATGCTAATGTTCTAGCTAGTTAAGTTTAGGGATCCAATGGTAGAGCCTGCATGTATTTCCTGCCCACAGTAAGGTGATAAAATGCATAATTAGTTAGTATTGGGATTCTCCAATTGGGTAATCAATAGATTAAGGATGGGCTAGTGAGAAAGCATTGGATTTCAGTTTTGTTTCTCTTTGTTTTTCTCCACTAGTCTGTTCTCACATGAATTTTAGAAGTCATTGAGTCAAGATATAGATTATAGCATATAGAGGATGTTTATCCTTTGTTTCTTTAATCTCCCATTTACCCTTTCCTCATTAGTAATTAAGGTTTTTCTTTTAAAGATAATACACATGTGTTCTGCTGTGTTTATTCACTCTACATAATTAGAATACCCAACAGTTAGAGCATTGGATTAGGAGAAGGGAGACACTGGTTGAAATCACCCCTTAGCATGAAGCTCGCTGGGTGGCTTCAGCCCAGGTTACATCACAGGCTTGTTCTGAGGATAAAATGGAAGAGAAGGAGAACAATGTATGCTATCCTGAGCTTCTTGGAATAAGTGGAAGGATACCAATATGATACATAAACATTTGCTTTGAACTTGTTCTTAGGTACAGAAGGATAGCCTCAATGGAACCAGGATTTCTCAACTTTTAACACCTCCCCTCCAACTTCTTAAGGTTTAAGCCTAAGGTCACAGCCCTTTATTTCAGTTAAAAGGTATGAATCCACTAGGTCTGTTCTATTTATGCTGATTAGAGATGAGCACGACCTGACTCACAAACTAAAGCTTGTGATGAATTTTGGCTGGTTCATGGATCACAAAGTGAAGTTCGTGGCAGGTCAAGCTGCACAAACTTTCCACAAACTTTCAAGCTGTTTGTGGTGGTTCATGCTGGTTCGTGAATGGATACATTTCCAGACAGACTGTCTTCACTCAATCTAAAAGTTTACTAAACTTCAAAGCAACAGAGGGGGCAGAACTTGGAGAGCATGTAGAGGAGCATCTGGGGGAGGTTCCCTGTGCCTTTGATGTCTCTAGCTTGCACAGGATCCATTCTATACACTCCTGAACCGCCTGAACCTGCACCTATCAAAATTACCACCTGTCAGCTGTCATTTCCCCAGAAAACACTTTCTGGGGGCCCCCTTCTTTGGGGAGCCATAATTCAGACCCCATACATCCAATCCTCACCAAACTTTGATGGCAGGTAGAGGAGAGGCAGCCAGAGATCCCCTGCAAGTCTGGGATCTTTAGCATACGAGGGGGCTCCATTCTACCACATAAGGTACCTCACAAACTGAACTGGTTCATTTGGCAGTGAAAAGTTCATGACGATTTGTGGTTCGCAAATCCGGGATGCCATGAGCCACAAGCTGAAAGACATTTTCCCAGTTCATGCCCATCTCTAATGCTGATAGCCATCAATCACCACTTCATTTGTAAAGATGCAGTGAAAGAGAGGGAGAAAAAATACCCCTCCTTTTAGTGCCCCCCATCCCATTGACAAGAAGATAGTAAAAGTGCAGTAAGAATAAAACTGTCTTGGACTCTATAACATTGTTCCCTTCGCATTTCTCTCCAGCTGCTGCAGAGGCTATCTTCCACTGCAGCACTTGCTTCCTCTGCTGTTAGCCCTTCTGTGTATGCAAGATAAACCTTTTGAAGGAGTACTTGCCCATGCAGAAAGCCTCTGTAGTGGACAGAGAAAAGCATGAAGGGGCTGACCTCATAGGATCCATGCCATAATCTCGAGTATGTATCCTGAGAGACAATAGCAGAACTCAGAAGTGGTTGCCTCATGTACTAACACCTTGGTGACGCTCTCTTCAGTTCTTTCTTGAAATTTCTTAGCTCCACCTTTTCATTCCGAACTGTTGCCCACTTTGTCATCAGAGAAGGGGGGGAGACAGAAATGTCACCCATGGTAACTCAGCAATGCTACTTGAACAGTAGGGATATATACTTTGTTCCACATATAATAAAGACTGCTTTCCTGAGAGACAATAGCAGAACTCAGAAGTTGTTGCCTCATGTACTAACACCTTGGTGACACTCTCTTCAGTTCTTTCCTGAAATTTCCTAGCTCCACCTTTTCATTCTGAACTGTTGCCCGCTTTGTCATCAGAGAAGGGGGGAGACAGAAATGTCACCCATGGTAACTCAGCAATGCTACTTGAACAGTAGGGATATATACTTTGTTCCACATATAATAAAGACTGCTTTTAAGGGGAGGAACATATGCTCATCTTACCCGCTGCTCCTGGCAGGACACAAACGTTTGGAAGCCGGGTGCCACCCCAAATCCCAGCTGGTCAATGAAGGGAGGCTCATCTTGGCTGTGGATCTGCACCTTAATCCCAGCTTCAAATGATGTCTCATCTGTGGCACAGAGATGCAGAAGTAGAAAGGGTACCCAAGTGAGCACAAAAAGCTCTGGCTTAGTGATTCTTCAGTGTGCTGCCTGTGGGTGCCAGGTAGGTTTACCAGCTCCAAGTGGGTCATGGAGTTCTCCCAGAATTGCAACAGATCTCTGTGGAAATCAGTTCCCCTGAAGAAAGTGGCACCTTCAGAGGGTGGACTCTGTATAATTACATCCCATTTGAGCTCCCTCCCCTCCCCTAACTCCACCCTCGCCAAGAACCACCCCCAAATCTCCAGGAATTTCCCAAGCCAGAGTGTGCACCCTGAGTGCCATGGGGGTCACTAAGACGTTCCTTGGTGCCCACGTGCTCGTTTATATCTCCTCATCAAAGCAAAGGGCCCACTCTGTCTTTCCTCCCCCTCATTGGAGCAGGAGATGCTTCAAAAGAGCTGAAAGGCATCACCTTTGTATCTTTGGAGAAGGCCCATTCAGAAACAGCTACCTCCAAAATAGGAAAGTGCTTGGGTTGGAACCTTCAGACATTTTATGGAGCCCTGCAACATTCTGAGATGGGACACAGCTCCCAGAGCAGCTGTTTTGTGATTGGTCCCACCCACCCCAGGCAGCCATGGTACCCATTACCTGCTCTCAAGATTTCAAATGTACCGACAGGATTGACAAAATGGAGGTGGGGAAAATGATGTTTTAAACTGTTTTGGGTTCCAATTGGGGGAGAAAAGTGGGCTATAAGTATCTAAACAGTCAAATAGGTATGCTGGAAAGCAGATGCCACTCTTTATTTTGCTCCTTATTGTCTTGTTCACAGACTTCCAGGAACCACAGGGTTTACATCAGCACAGAAAGAGACAAACCAAACTGGAGGCATCAGGCCATGGAAGGCAGATTCTTTCTTGCTTGTTTCTTACAGAAAGCACCCTGTTTTAGCCAATGTCTCCCATGGTGTGCCATTGCTAAGGTCATGGCTGGCCTGATCTGAATAAAGATTCAGTAAAACATCAATTCGTTCCCCCCTAAAGACAGGGCTCATTTCAGGAACATATCAGGTAATTCTCCCCCTCACCACACCGAGTATTAAATAGCTACATCCAGAACCCCCATATTTTTGTATTAGGGAGAAGTCTCCCAGGTTAAGAGATCATAATTCCCAGACAGGCCTGTATCCCAACCCTTCTCCCAAAGGGACTTTTGGAGACTATTGCACTGGGACTCCAACCCCACCACAGTCTCAACAGCACAGCTCTTGACTCTTCTCCAACAGTGATCAAGGCTATTTGTGGATAAGAGACAGCTTCTTTCTTTGCAGATGACAAGCTGGTTGCCATGGCAAGTAGCAGAAAAGGGGGGACTAGTCAGAGAAAGGGATGGGGGAAGGAATGATATGAGGGCCAGGATGCAATGTGAGTCTAGAAAAATAATGAAGCAGAGAGAAGCTTAGTGGGCTGAAGGACAGGGCAGGGAGACTGGGCAAGGGGGAGCAGACCATGGGGTGGTGAATCAGAGTTCACAGCAAGAACTCTGGCACAATAAATATCAGTGCATGGTCATGCATGATGGAAAGGTCTAACAAGGCAAGGGGGCAACATGACACAGAGGAGTTGCCGCAGTGTGCCAAAGAGGGATAGCCCAGGATAGTCCAATCATGTCAGATCTCTGAAGCTAAGCAGGGTTGGCCTTGGTTAGTATTTGGATGGGAGACCACCAAGGACGTCAAAGCTTGCTGTGCAGAGGCAGGCAAGGGCAAACCACCTCTGAATGTCTCTTGCCGTGAAAACCCTACGGGGTCGCCATAAGCCTGCTGTGACTTGATGGCACTTTTCAAACCCCCCCCCCCAAGAGGGGATCTGGGGAAGAGTAGAACTAATGTATGATTTGTGAGGTCAGTAACATGTCCTACCTGTCTCTCCCCACACAGGAAGATACTCATCTTGCTGAATGTCCAGCATGATCTCCAAGCCATTACCAGTTCCCCCTTTCATAGTGAGGAGCGGTGGCTTTCCAGACTGGCCTGAGTTAAACGTGTAGCACTTCCCATAGCGTGTGAACACCTGAGAAGGAAACAAGAAAGGATTAGACCAGGAATGAGAAGCTACTGTGGAACTCTCCCAGTCCTGCTAGTAGATACTCATCAGCAGATCAAAGCAAGGGGCACTGAAACATCATTCTCAGCAATGGACCTAATAACAGTCCCCAAGGATGACCTCTCACTGCACTGATTCAGCACCAGGGATAGTTCCCCGCCCTTCATGGCTCCCCAGTTCCCCTGAAAGGCCATTCCCAGTGGAAGAGGGAGATCGGGATGCCATAGGGGTAGCAGAAACAACGCCTTATCTCAGTGGTTTTCAAACTTTTTGAAGTAGAACCTAATTCTAAATTTGCTGTATTTTTCAGGACTCAAGTGTAAAGTAACTCTGCACTATGTTCCCTCTCCCAAATAAAAATGCAGAAACCAAACAGCAGTAAACATTGAGGACGTTTTTAATTCACTGTTCATGTTGCATGTGTGTGTGTGTGTGTGTGTACACACACACACAAAATCACTGAGCAATGTATTTCATTGCCATTTCACACATTATTATGCAGAGAGAAACCTAAAGTGGCCGTTCATCCTCTCAGAGCCTCCCCTCCCAGTTTATCCTGCTCCTTCTTCTTCCTCTTGGCCTTGTGACCCACCTGTGAGCAATTCGTGACCCATGTTTGGGTCCTGACCCACAGTCTGAGAACCACTGCCTTATCTAATAGGAGTGTGGGGTATGATGGATTAGAGTCTTGAAAACGGAGCATGCTTTGTGAGCCAACCAGAGTACTGCTGTTCCACAGTCATTTATTTGCAACTAGGGGGTGGCGATGGCAACAGTTACAGGTTATGCAATCTGATGATGACCACAATGATGGCCCTCGTTCCTGTGATTTAGATAATGCAAACAGAGGGGGAAATGAAGGCTGTGGGGTTCAGGCTCCAGAGGTGTAGATCCAGTAGTTGCATCCCTCTATTAAAGAGGGACTGTTTCAGCCATGCTGGTATTTACACTCTACTAGGTAATTAATCATTTGCAGATGCTCAGATAATGGTCCTTGCCAGGCAATTTGTGTAACAAATAGGTTAGGGAGTAAGATTTGGCAGCTGCTGCCTAAGGAATGCTAAATGTTTTGTAGATACCAGCTGAGCTCTTCTGTCCCATCCATCCCCATGCAGTGGGTACATAGGAGCTACATTCTTAGTCAATAAAGCTGAGCTCAGACTGGGGAAAGGATTTATCCAGCTGTGCAAAGTAAGTTCGCAGCACTGTCAGGCATATAGCCAAGACATAGCGTATAGCTTCCCTCTGATCCAAGCCCATTATCCTTTAAGACAGTGCAAGGGCAGGTCTGGGGGGGGGGGTGAGGAATCAGTTGCTAAGGAAGATTCTCCTTGTCTTCCAGTCCAGGTTTTGCGTTGCTTGCATTTCATCCCTTTCAAATCAATGCAATAGCTACATGTTCCTTTTCCTTGATTAATCCATCATGGCAGATGGGTTTATTTCTTAAAAGCTTTTTTAAATAATGGAGCTATCAATTTGTAATTTGTGGAGATGTGCACTGTCACAGCATAGTCCGATGCAGAGTTATAGCTGTCCAAATACATTGAAGCCCAGGGGCTTACAAGGCTGTAGCTCTGTTTATGATGGCCTGCATATCCATCAGAGACTTGGTGGGCCCTGCATTTGCTTATATGATCTACCATCAGCCAAGCCTCCAGAAGGCCTTGAATGTGCAATCTTAAACAGGATTTATTCAGGTTTATTCAATGGGGTTTACTCCCAGGAAAGTGTTTCTGGATTGTATTATAAGAAGTCCCCTGTTTCAACATTCTACCCTCGGCTCTGCTGCAAGGCAAATGTTTTGGTATCCTTTGTTCCACTGTTTTTTGTCAACTGAACATAGTTGAACAGCTGAACATGTGTTACTTCATTGTTTATTTTATGACATTAATTCCTTATATATTAGTCCAATTTTATCCTAGTTTCCAGGTAGAGCTAATAAATTTTACACATCCATTCTTCTTGCAAATTGCCTTAATGAAGCCCTGCTTAAGGTGGCCAAATTCTGTGCTTTTGCTCAGTCAGTAAGGAAGCAGATGGTTCAATCTTTTTTATTAATCACCTTGTATTACTAAAATTAGTGTTTGATGAGATTAAGGTATTTGTTTTGTATTTGTGTTTAGCTTGTGCTCTTATGTTGGTGCTGGCTGATCTTGGATCGTACTTAAGTGAATTGAATTGAATTGTAAGAATTCATAAACCACTATGCCCTTTTTCCATTCCCGCAGCAAATGAGATAGTATCATTTGGTTTTCCAGCCTCCTGGACTAGAGTCCATCTCCCTCTGTCCATCCCTAAAGACAGAAGCATATCACTCAAATCCTGGTTCTGAACTTGATCAACATTATGTTCGCTGTACATTATTAAACTGAATTTATTTTGGAAAACAACTCACACCAAATGTACACAGTAAACTTTATGGGAAGAACATAGTTTGGGTACACACACAGACACTCAAAACTTTTTAAATAATAAAACACAGAAGTTCATACAAACATCTGTCAACACTAATGCTATAAAAGGGGCAGTAACATTGTTGCAGGGCCATTTCTGCAGGACCGTCTCTCTCTATACAGCCCCTGAAGGGCATTGTGCTCTTCTGCTCAACATCTACTGGTTGTCCTCGGCCCCAAAGGTCTCTGCATAGCCTCGACCCTTGCCTTTTTGGCTCTGGCACCAGCTTGGTGGAATGCCCTCCCTAGTGAGATCCAGGCCTGTGGGATTTAATGCAGTTCCGCAGGGCCTGTAACACGGAGATGTTCCACCAGGCCTATGGTCAAGGCAGCAACAAATCAACCACAATGGCCTCCCCCGCCCCACCCTGCTTAGCCATGCCCAGCTGCACTACAGCCCATCTCAGCTATTTACTCACCCACCTGCTTCTCCTGCACTGTTTAGCTCTGTGGCTACATCAAAACTGGAACCTCATCCTGTTCAGTAAATTGTCTAGCTGGTGCCTCTTAAGATTCTTATGTGTACAAATTGTTTATAACTGTTTCATGATTGTACTCTGTTTTCAATGTTGTATGGTTTCAAGAATGTTGTGATCTACCCTGAGCCTGCTTGTGGGGGAGGGAGGGATAAAAGCCAAAATAAATAAATACATTTTATGCAGAGATAGATTCGGTGGCTTTTAATTGTTTTTATTGCTCACCTAAGCATTTGCCAATATGAGAGACCCTCTTTTTTTGTAGTCTGAAATTTTGAAGTAACTTCTTTCAAGAAGTGGTCCATGCCTAAAACACATTTCCCAGTAAATATTGGCTTGCACCATTGTGAGTGTTCCTATCATCTATTCCCTCCATTCCAACTCACTGCCAGCATTCCTGATTCCCCCTTCCCTAGCCACAACCATCGAACTCTCCTTGGCTACAGAAGAGCTGAGGATTTTAAACCAATAATTAAGAAGCAGCAAAGTATTCATAAGGATAATGATAGACCTAACTCTCTGTGGATTTATGTGCATTCAAAAATCCATGAGTTTATGGACTGATTAAAGGAGGATATTTATTTACACCACTTTTAACCTGCCTTTCTCCAACAAGGGATTTGAGGGACCTGACGATATCATTCAAGTGTCTTTCAATTTTTCTGTAAGCTGCTTTGGGACCCTTCAAGGGAGAAAAGCAGGTTAAAGTATTTTAAATAAATAACATTTCAATACACATTACAACCAAATCCAACCAGAAATCCATGCTACAGAATGAGTACAAGTCATAAAGATATATATGTTTCCGCCTTCAGCTGGAAAAGCCCTTCAATATAGTTCTGTTTTATATTGTCTCTGGAAACTACTATTAGCCCTGGAAGAAGAGAAAGAAGAAAAGAAAAAGAAAAGAAAAAAAGGGTGCTTCTCTTTTTTTTCTGTATCAGGATCAATCCAAATTAACTAGCACCAATTCAAGTCACCCCCCACCAGCTACTTTTATAGTTGACCTACAGAGAAGACCTATGATCTGACCTCCAACATATTGTGCAGTTTCGCCCCAGGGAATCCTTTGATATTTAATCTCCAGCCTTGGGTGTGGCAAAGTCTATGAGAGTATATTACGCTAATTGCACAGTCTGAAGTGGAAGCGAATGAATCTTCCCAAGTGTTCAAGCGTGTGGTTTGTGGATCATTAAAAAATCATTCAAATTCCAACACAGTACTCAAGATGCACTAGCAGCGATTCAAATCTTTAAGACAAATGAATATCCCCATACAGTTCATGAATATAGAAAACCTTATTTATTTTCATTCATCAAGGTAGTTAAATTGAAATGAATGTCCCAGAGTTGCCATTCCCCCTGCTTCTGGAAGGGTGACAGGGAGGAGCAAGGACACTGCATCTTGACAAGTGTACCAAGATGACAAATCACTAGGAGGGAAAGTGGAGACCCGCTACCATTTTCACTGCTTCATTCCAAGACCCCGACACTGGTGCATTTCTAAGTCTGTGGCAACTCTACTAACACCCACTAATCACACAGAGGCATATTGATGATACCCCCCCACTACACAGAGAGACAGAAGTAGCCAACCAGTGCAGGCCGATGCCTCTGATGTCTCATCCCCCTGCCCTCCTGACTTCAGCCCACTGTTACCCACATGCAGGACACAACAAGAACAGCAACAAAAGGAACACGGCTGTAGTTGGAGGAGGCATTAGCTGCATCAGCCTGCACTGGCTGGCTGCTTCTATCTCTCTGTGCTGAGGGGGTAACACAGCACCCCCCACCAAACCAGTAGATGCAACCAATAGGGGCACCTTGAACAGACACATATCAGGAAGTTCTGTAGGCACAACTGAGAACAGCCTGTTGTTCTCATTGGCAGCCCCACATGCCAGTCATTTCAGTCAGCAAGCCCCCCTGCACCACTGCTGCAGACAGGGTAGGGTGTTTTTTTGTTGTTGTTCATTACCACCGCCTGTTCCTGTTTGTCCCAGAAATTCTTGGGCTCCATCTCACTCCACCCCCTCACA